TTTCGTGGGTTTTCCCTCCCCCAAAGATACAAAATCTTGAGCAGTTTTGGGCAATAGTAACCAAAAATGCTCCTTTCACAGATACAAAAGAGAGGCAACAAGGGACTGCAAGGATTGTAATGGAGACTATAGAAATAGATTACAAATGAAAACAGGTCAAAGCCATAGAACTAAAAGTTAAAACCATAACCTTTATTTAGCAATTGCCATAACAGATTAGACCAATACTAGTCTAGTATTTTATCTTCCAGTGACCAGCACTGATGCTCCAAGGAATGGTTTAAGAAATCCTGAAGGTACAATTATGAAATACGTTGGCTATAGGAGACGTGTTGTGAGGATTAATTTACTAATGTTTGCAAAGCACGCTGAGATTCTTAGAAGGAGAGCACTACAGGAGTGCAATGTATTATTGCTATACAATAAAATCCATCATCTAATTTTCTTATGAGGAGAATTGGAGGTAAAATTATGTATATCTTGTCAGCTTCAAAGATGTCCATGCAGAGTACATTGTATATTTGGCTATAGTAGACTCTGAACACATATGAATATAAATAAACTAACATTTGCGAACCAGGATACAGTAGAACCTCAGAGTTACGAACACCTCAGGAACAGAGGTTGTTCATAACTCTGAAATGTTTATAACTCTGAACAAAACATTATGGTGGTTCTTCCAAAAGTTTACAACTGAACATTGACTTAATAGAGCTTTGAAACTTTACTATGCAGAAGAAAAATGCTGCTTTTATCCATCTTAATTTAAATGAAACAAGCACAGAAAGAGTTTCCAAATCTTGTCAAATGAGTTTTCTTTTAACTTTCCCTTTATTTTTTTTAGTGGTTTATGTTTAACACTGCGCTGTATTTACTTTTTTTGGCCTCTGCTGCTGCCTGATTGTATACTTCTGGTTCCAAATGAGGTGTGTGGTTGCCTGGTCATTTCTTAATCTGAGGTTCTACTGTATTGAATAATCTCAATTTTATTTTAAAACATGCCGTTGAGGTTTAGCCCCTTTGTGCCCTCCTTTCTTTCCTGCTCTATGAATCCCCTATTCTGGACATAACAGGCCAAAGTTGGTAATACATGCTTCAACCACAATGCACTGGTGTGTTCAGGGTAGTGTTGAAGTGAGGAGTCTGTAGGCCAACAATAGTTTTTGCTGCAGTTACCCTTTAATTGAATCAGTTCTGCTGCTGCTCTCCATATGACTTTTGACCAGTTGTACCAATACAGCCATACTAAGGCCTTGGCTACACTTGCGAGTTAGAGCGCATTAAAGCAGACCCGTCCATGCTGGCAAGGCACTTAGAGCGCCTGGACTCTGCAGCTGGAGCGCTCCTGGTAATCCACCTCCACGAGAAGCATAACACTTGCTGTGCCCCAGCTGAAACGCCCCAGCGTCAGTGTGAATGAGGTGTTGCATTACTGTGCTTTGATCGGCCTCTGGAAACTTCCCATAATCCCCTTAAGTCAAGTGGCCAGTCTTGTCATTGTTTTGAACTCCCCTTTCTAAGCTCCATTTCTGACAGCCGGCATGCTTATCTGCTCTGGGGCAAAGCAACCATTAGTATGGAATGCTGCTTGCTGTGAGTGTGCAAGAGAGAGAGGAGTGGGGGGGGGAGGAGGGTCTGCTGCTGTCTGAACTTACAAGACAGCATGCTGACATGCTCTCAGCCCCCCAAAAACCCACTCTCTCTCCCCCCACATACACACAACACACTCCCTGTCACACTCCACCCCGCCCCTTCCATTTTAAAAGCACATTGCAGCCACTTGCATGCTGGGATAGCTACCACAATGCACTGCTCTCCGTGGTGTTGCAAGAGCTGCTAAAATGTGGTCACGCTAGTGCGCTTGAATCTGACAGTGTGAACACACTGCAGTGCTTTCCCTACTGCGCTCTACGAAGGCTGGTTTAACTCACAGCGCTCTACATCTGCAAGTGTAGCCATGCCCTTAGCTTCTGCACCATCCATAGAGGCAGAGTTGAGCAGCAGGTCTACAAAATGAATTGTACACGTATCTCTATCTCCCACACCTGTGTAGTAGCTCTTACTTTGAAAGCAGCTCACATAGAAAAATGTTAGCAACTATTGTTCTTTGGGAGTTGCCTCTGTGGATTCACTGATGAGACAGTGCCCTCTACAGGTGGAGCTCGCAGAACCATTGTAAGGCTGTGTCTGTGGAAACTGCATGAGTATCCCCTAAGGATGCTAAACATCCAAGCCTATACAAGGAAGTGCATTCTCCAAGCATCTTAGCACAGCAGCGTGAATGAAGACAAGATGTAGAATTAACAATACTCACCTGTTTCTGTTCCACCCGCCATTGCAGTCAAACTATAGAAACCACAGCAGAGACAAAGAGGCAGAACAAAAAGTGACAAAACCTTAATCAGACTTAATCAGGCAGGGGTATGTTCAAATATTGTTGACTCAAGCAGGGGCTTTGTTTACATTGTAAAGTGTAACTTTTACTAGCTTTTGATTTTACCAGACTCCAGTTCTACATTGTGCTGACTTAGAGTAAGGCAGGACAGAACTGACCAAGATGCAGGGTAAGCCAGGAGCTTTACTTAGGAAAAGATGCTTGACTGGAACATTCATTGCCAAGTAGCACTTTGCTGAAAAAAAACCCCACCCAGTACATGTTGCTCTGGCATTAGGGTTACCCCAACTGCCAGTCTATCCCCCCTTTCCAGTTGCTGATAACTTGACAAACATTTCTACAGGGTGGTATTTTCCGTGGGTAGTCTCAACACAAAGGTGATTTTTTTTTTTTTTATTTCCTTCTGATCTGGAGCAAAATAGTTTCAACCTTTAGAGTGTGGAAAAAACAAACCACATTTCCTATCTCAAATTTCCTCTCAGAAATTGTGTTCACGTACCTTAAGTAGCTGAAGCCAGAAGCTTCACCCTTGTCTCAGAGACTTACACCTAGTCTGCAAAGGCTTATCACTAGTGCTATGTAGGCAAACCCTTCTAGTGTAAGTGCAGTTTATACTGGCAAGAGAGTGCTTCTGCCTGAACCTGAAATCTACACCAGTTCCCTGAAATGTTATTTTGGGAAAAAAGGGACTTTTTTTTGCCAATATAACTGCATTTTGCCTAGGACTTTTGCTGGTATAAAAAGTTATTAAAAATCTCACACCCCTAACCAATGTCGTTATACCAGCAAAAGTTTTAAGGATAGATGAGGCCTCAGAAATCAAGCCAGGTTTGGAACAAAAATATTGAGCAATGTTTTAAATAAGTTAAAACTTTCAGTTAACTGGTGATGCAACACTCGTGTGGTTTAGAACAGTGGGGGGAATCTGAATCTCCACAAATTGTTACTAAAAGCACTCGAGGAGTAAAGGCATTCCATCCCCTGCTGTTCCCAGCAAAACCAGTGCCATTTCCAGAAGCCCCAACTCAACTACCTGGGGACTCATAGTAGGGTGACCAGATGTCCTGATTTTATAGGGACAGTCCTGATATTTTGGGTTTTTTTTTTTTTTTTTTATATGGGCTCCTATTACCCCCCACACCCTGTCCCAATTTTTCACACTTGCTATCTGGTCACCCTAGCTCATAGGGATGTGGATACAGAGTGGGTGGGTCAGCTACACCAACCTTTGCTTCCATGAGGGGGTAGAGTGTGGTAAAGGAGACAGGCTACCACAGTCTGGCTTAGGAAGACACTTCTCCCTTTTCAGGTCACTGTAGCGTTCCCCTCTGCATTCCTCTCTACGCAGGCTTGGGCCAGGATTTGTCCCAGGGCAGTGGTTTTCAAACTTCTTTTCTGGGGACCTAGTTGAAGAAAATTGTTGATGCCCACAACCCAGTGGAGCTGGGGATGAGTGGTTTGGAGTGTAGGAGGGGCTCTGGGCTGGGGACTGAGGTGCAGGAGGGGGTCAGGGTTCTGAGTGCAGGCTCTGGGGTGGGGCTGGGGGATTTGGGGTGCAGGAAGGGGTTCCAGGTTTGTGAGGGCTCAGGGCTGGGATGCGGGGTTGGGGCATGGACTTACCTCCGGCAGCTCCCAGTAAGCGGTGCAGCGGCAGGCTTCCCACCTGTTCTGGCACCGCGGACTGCGCTGCACCCCAGAAGCAGCCAGCAGCGGGTCTGGCTCTTAGGTGGAGGCGCGCAAGCAGGCACCGCCCCCCGCCCCCAGCTCCCATTGGCCAGTGCCGGGGGCAGCACGTGGAGTCCCGTGGCCCCCGCCTAGAAGCCAGACCTGCTGCTGGCTGCGTCCGGGGCGCAGCGCGGTGTTAGAAAGGTAGGCACTAGCCTGCCTAAGCTGGGCAGCACTGCCAACGGGACTTTTAACGGCCCAGTCGGCGGTGCTGACCAGAGCCGCAGCGACCGAGTCCCTTCCATTCCGCGACTCAGTTCTGGGTCGCGATCCATGGTTTGAAAAACACTACCCTAGGGATTAAAGCAAGGGAAGCAATTTATGCAGTGTGTGGAGCTTCAGTTATGGGCATTTCACAGTTAAAGACAGCTGGTTGCTGCATCATTCTGCAAGTAGGAATTTACAAGCCACATAGCTTAATTTCTTCACCTTCTCCCCACTCTCTCCCCCCCCCCCGCCCACTTTTATAGAAAAACAGAAGTTAAATAAAGAGAGGAAAATGGCATTCGTGCAACATTCAGGTTGAGAAATCAAAATCAGACACTCCAATGACAGGAAATTTCAAAAGCAAAAGTTCCTGCGAGCCTGGTAACTCAGCCCCATTGGACTGAAGTGTGTTTATAGTCCTGTTTTCTCTTCTAAAATGTAAGCTACGATATATCGTATGCCCTAATGTGTCGGAGGGATGGGGGGCAAGAGTTAATGTTGTGGCAGCAACCTTGTGTTTTGGAATTTCATAGAAATTAGAAATGGAGAAAAAGACAAATCCAGTTCAGCTCCTGTTGCATTAAAAGGCAACCTTTTGCATTTCAGGTAAATGCAGCTGAACTGTGTTCTTGTGTAAGAATCTGCCTAACTTTGTGTTTTTCTTTCATCTTAGGGGGCTGGCGATAGTTTTGTGGGCGCACTGGCTTTCTTCATGGCTTGCTATCCCAATCTATCCATGGAAGAAGTGATCAGGAAGTCAAACTTCATCGCATCAGTGAGCGTCCAGGCATCAGGGACACAGTCTTCCTATCCCTACAGGAAGGACCTGCCCCAGGATCTTTTCTAACTTGTGGTGTCAGACATCTGCATGTGTTGATTGTAAAATATCCCAGGCAAGGGTGTTCTGATTGTACAGAGGCAAACTTTTTTCCCCCTAAGAGATTCCAGGTACTCAGCTACTAAAGGACTAGAGTGCAGGAAAGTCTTTACTCCCTTCTCAATCACTGATTCCCTGCTAGACTCTGGTCTAGAGTAGAGCACTAGGGTTGCACTCTTTCATTCCAGCGAAATACTGTGGATCTGGCCCTTGCCCTACACACTGTGCAGGACAAACATTACTCTAATGGCAATGCAAAACTTAGTAGTCAATGTGTTCAACATTTCACTCCACAAACTCATGTCTATAAACTAAAGAGACATTCCACAATATGAGTAGGGATAACTGAGCTCTGAAATTCAGTGGCCTCCACAGACTTTGCTGTGCTCTCCACTAATTAAGATTCTCCTTGATTTTGATGATGTTTCACATCTGCCAGCTAGGGACATCGCTATTGAAATGTGAATTATAGTTAGCTTTGAGTTTTCAACCAAATTCCTATTGTCCTTGCTCTCTGCAAGTGCCTTAGCCCAAAATGAGACTCATCAACTGTCTGGAGACCACACATACCAGCATGCCAAGTTCCATCTCATCCATAGTCCACTCCGATCACAACGAAGCACTGCATACTGGGTCCTGCACCATCTGCTGGTTATGTTTCTCTATTGCATGATGGCTGCAGTAGGCTCCATACTGTGTCCATTAAGTGAGGTTTTCTGGTTCTGGGCAAGCTGCTGATAAAGCCCTCAGGTGAGCTAGATGTACATATCAGCTCATTAGCTGTTTAATGTTCCAGGGAAACGCATGTCAAGATGCCTAGTCAGTCTTATTTGGCCAGAAACACAAATAAACTAGTTATTTAAAGAACAAAATCATCAGCCACAATGCACTAGTCAAAAAGCTGGCTTAGACATCTACCGTGTGCCTAGTCAGGCAAAAATTCAGATGTGAAAAATAAGTCCTACATACATGGGCTTGATAAAAAGCTCTATTTTGTATGGGTCAAATCCTGATCTCATGGGAGTTTTGCCATTGGCTTCAAAGGCAGCAGCCTTTAGCTCTACAGGTCACTTAACTACTTGTATTTCTTCTTCCCACCTCTACTATAAGCTCTGAAACACTGGTGCTCCTACGGTTTCATCTGTGGATTGTGGTTTAGAATGCCTCTAGCAGCCCTGCCACTGAAGTTCCCTTGTAGAAAATGTTAATTTTTTATTGCCATGTGAAACAATAGTCAGTTTCTTTGACAATTACAGCCAGTTTCACAATGGAAAACACAGACAATGGGATCTGCTGTTTTAATTTTTTTATTGAGGACTGTAAAAATAACTCAAAGGATAAATAAATGTTGATGTGATGATCTATGTCCAGACACTAAGACTTTTCTCTCTCTACATTGTTCTCAATCACAATGGCCTTCAAATCACAGGAGGCATTGATAGAGTTTATTTCCTCTCTTTTTAGCACACGCTGCAGGATTTCAGAAGCAGCATTCCCCCCTCAAGAGTCCAACTGACATATAAAACAAGTCCATTTACAAGGCGTTGTTCAGATGGAACGTAGTTTTTTCTTCTCTGTGAAGAGAACACGTTGGTTCACTGTGGAGAGAAAGCAACTTGGTAGGAAAGTTCAAGTGTTAGGATTTACAAAAAAAAAATAAAAAAATCCACACCCCCACCTCCTGCTGGCCTCAATGCTTAAACAAATACTGAACGAATGATTGCTGGCACAATGCCATTGCTGGCCAACCTGCTTTTAAAGGACTTTTAGCACACATTCATTTTACAACATATAACTTTTAGTATACAGGTGTCTATTTTACCCCATGAAGGACAAACATTAGGATTTAAGTGACTGTGAAAATGGAACCTTTTCACTCAACAGCTGCTCGCCACATCTATTCGGAGTCAGTCTGCTCTGCATAGGGACAAAGAAAGGTTTTTACGGCTTTTCTACTTGTCTTAGCGCTGCCGAGTCCAGACAGCTATGGGAGAGTAAACTGGATTCTAATCTGCCTCGCATATCATCAACAGAATCCTTCAAGGACCAACTGCAGAATCTTTATTACAAGTGATGAGTGAACTACAAATGAGCTGGACTGTAAGTCCTCAACCTGAAGTTAGGAAAATCATTTTACTTCTAAACTGCGCACATGTGATATGGAAGTTATTATGAGAGAATGAGCATGGCAAACTACAATGCCGGTTGTGCAATCGAATTGTTTAATGTTAATTTTAGTAACTTAACACTGAAAACTATGTAGGGATAACACTGTACACCACAGAGGTAGTGGATTGAAGTCATTTCTCCAACATATCACAGCCCAGTTGTGACTGAAGCCTTTACATTATGCACTGCACAATCTGGGACTTTCTACTTCACTATAAAAGGTTCCCTATATGCAGGTCCCATTGTTTATGAAATACACAAAAAACAGTGAAGTGAAAGTGCATACAGACAGAAAGTACATCTAATACTGTATCTGACATCCAGACTCACATTTACCTGCCTTTCACACATGCCTCAGCGTCTCACTTTCCCTCTGGTATAGGCTATAGGAATTTTTTTCCCCCCTTCACCAAATGTGAACCCCAGGCCATTCCAAGCTACCTCCTATTTCTATTCTATGGGTTGCATCAGGCTGTTCTGCCACCAAACTCCTGCTAGGCTGGGGGCGCCGCTCTGTAGCACATTACACACAAACTGGATAGTGTTTCTGGGGGGGGGGGGGGGTGTTGTGGAATGTTCTGAAGCAATGAAGTTAATATGAAATTAAGACACTCGTTTTCCAACCCAGGAAATGAATCCCACCACTGCTTGATCTAAGGCTTTCCCTTGCACATGAAATTCAGTTTCTGCCAACATGAATATTTTTAGCAGATTTTGATTAAATCAGCTTGTATCTCCAGGAGCCTCTCTCCACAGGCATCAAACTCCTGCATTCTTAAGTCAACAGAGAATATCAATGTTAATCTTCCACCAAGACTGCACTGAAGATAATATCCCATATGACTATCAGCCAAATGGTTATATTACATACTCAGAGCAACATGATTTTTTAAATTATGCCCTAGTTAAATATCAGATTACCGGGTGTTTTGCAGGAGGTAGCTGGGATCTGTACTGACTTAACTCTCCCATGCTATTTTAAGAGCTAAAGCAGGTTAGACTGTCCCCAACTTAGCCTTCAATATGTTAGTTACAAACTGGTGCCTTCCCAAGAAACGAAGACTCTAAGTCACCTTTTAAAATACATTTTTTAACTCTTGACAAATGCTATTGACACCCATGACTTACAATGAATCAGGTTTTAAATGATGGAGAGCGTTCTGAGGGCAGAGGAATGCAGCAGAAGAGTGGAGCAACTTTTCTCCAGACATGTGGGAACCTGCATTTATTTCTATATTAGACATTTTTTAAATAATAGAAATATTTTAAATAAATTTCATCTTGACGTTGTGATGAGAGTTTACTGATCTTCTGGTTTAAATGTCCCAACAGAACTTCTCTGCAGCTGCGTAGATCACTGCTGCTTCTTACGAGACAGTCGTGTCTAGTAAACTGAGCATGGAAATAGAATGTACGAATTCTAATCTCAGCTCGACCACTGTCTTGCTGTGAGGTCTTGGGCAAGTCACTGCCTCATTGTGTTAGTGCCACAGTCTGTAAAATGGGATTAATATTACCTCCTCCTGCATTGGGACATTTTAAGGAACAGTACAGTGGTTTGAGCATGTAAAATGCTAAGTATTACTCTGCTTATACTCGATACATTCTGTTACATTCAACTGAAGAGAAAGTGTGCATCTTCCAGACAGCATCTAATTTCTTAAGTTCTTACCAATGGGATCATATTTCAGCAGGACCAATTTCTCCTGTAGTCGGGCTTTCTTGATGTTGACACAGTAGCCCGTCCCTGCTGCACTCACCATCCTCACAAGGACGTACCTGAAATGACGAGGGACATCATTATGGCCAAAGGCAGATGTATACAGTGGTGGTCAGTGTCTCCACTGCAGAAATTCCCCTTTGACATGTGCAGTTAAGTGAACTGAGACATTTAATGTCACCATTTGTGCCTAATAAGGGACAATTAAATACTAAATTTAGCTGAGCTGTTATATGGGTTTAATCGCAAGAGGTGATGAGCAACTGCAACTTCAACAGATGTTGCCAATGCGCAGCTAAACAATGCTGATGCACAAGTGCTGTAGGTCAAGAGAGGAAGTTTTGGGAACAGACCCTGGTCTCTCTCCCCAGACCAGCAGGCACATCATACAGGACAAGTATAAGAGAGGCAGTGAAAGCAACTTGAAATATTCACACTAAAGCTGCTCGGAAATCTTTTGTCTGAACAGTTTTCTGTTGGAAAAAGGTGTTTCAACACAACCACTTGTTTTTTTTATGAAATCACATTGACAAATTTCCTGAAAAAAAAAAAAATTTGAAAACTATTTTTTTATTTCCCAAAATTTCATTTTGAATTTTTTAAAAATTTCATTTTAAAACTAATTTTTCATTTTGAAATTTACTTTGTTTTTTCCCCACCTATTAGTTTTACGTTATTTCATGATGTCTGTAGCATTAGTGCATAAGACAACATGTCATATCCTGCCATGCCATGTCACGATATGTGCTACTTCTGCTGACATGGTCCAAATCAGAACAAAGACATTTCAAAATATCAAATTTTCCTATGAAACAGAAATTCCAAATTTTGATCAGCTCTAATTAAAACCTCCTACCAGCAAATCCATGAATAGCAGGGAACTCCGCCTGGAAAGGGCACTGGGAGGGGCACAGGCAGAGAATCTATTCATCTGAAAGAGGGGAGAGGTTCAGGGAGCCTAAGAGGAAAAGTGGTGGCATTTGGAGTGAGGGGGAATCTATGGGCCAAGGGTTGGGAGGTTTGAAAACCACCCGACTAAAATCATGATGCTTTTAGAGCGCAGAGTCCATAGCAGGACTGTACATTTCAACATCAGCCTCAGGTTAATTGCTATCGAATGGAACATAGATCATGGCCAAGAGAAGTAGTTTCCACACTGAAATAAGACAAAAAAGAAAAGAGCCGCACACAACTGACTCAGTGTGGCTCCTTTTCAGACAAGAAACGGAGAATGATCATATTTAAAGGCACCCAGGTCATAGCCAATACACTATCTCAGAATACAGAGCCCAGCTGTCTCCTCCACTTGCACTAGCACTGGGACCTAAAGCAGTACACAGATGGAGTGAGGGGCATCCAAAAAGGGAAAGCAGAGCTCCTCAGCATGGTATGCCACAGAAATAGGTCAAGAGGTGGCAAGATTGGTGGGATGGTAACACTCCACAGCATCATGCCCTCTCAAACCCCCAGATGATGCTAACCCAGTGGAGGAGTTGGGGCAGCAGCCATGTACCGTAGAGAGGAGAAGAGGAGAAATTGGGGTATAATGTGAAGGCAACTGAGCCTCCCTGCAAATCCATAAGTACTGCCAGCTCTCTGGTACTCCCCAGGATCTCAAGGCATCTGGAAATTAGGGAAGGAGGGTCAAGCCCCTTGACCATTTCTCCAGTGGTGATCTCTCCTTTTCCATCGCAATGAAATGATCTGAAAGAAGCATTGCCAGTAGAAACCACATTCAATTTTCTGTCTTACAGACAGTATCATCCCTTGAAATTAAACAGAGAAAATCCCTATTTGCTCACCCATGCAATGTCACTCCCAACAGCATATACAGTACATATTGCTTTGCCTGGTCTGATTTAAAGTCAAGTTTTACATGAAGGGTTTTTTTCCCCCTTCAAATGAAGGGTAACCACTAGACTTCCCTGAGCTAAAAGACCCAGCAAATGTTCTGTTATCTCCTGTACACGCACTACAGGTGTCAGGCATAGCACCTGTAGCCACATAGGGGACTCCTTCCCCATACCTCTCCCACTTCCTCAAACACCTTCTGGTCAGTTTCCTCTTTCTAGCCCAGTGACATCAGTACAACCAGAGTTTGAAACTCCTATTTGGTACATGTCTGAGGGCAGGTTCTTTTTGAGTAAGACACTTAGTTATGAAAATTTCCAACTTAATCGGGTAACCCAAGCCAGATGGTCTAGTGGGGTGTAGGCAGAACAAGAAGGGAGAAAATCTAGGGGAGAGACCCAAAAAGGGAAAGCAAAGGGGCCAGAGGAGGACCAATAAAATGACAAAGAAAGAAGGGACGAGAACACAAAACCAAAAAGAGAAGCACTTGGTTTTGAAAATAAATTTCATTTCTTAATGAAGGAGGAGCAGCACAAAGACAGAATAAAAAGGGGAGGAATACAAGAAAAAAAGCCACAAAAAGCTTTTAGGTTAGTGAAATTAATTGTATTTATACCTCCTCCTTGAGGAAACTTCACCATGCTCTGTTCATTGGTGGGAGGGGATGATGGCAGAACATAATTACTATTAAGGCTGGTGTCAAACTGAGACCCCTTCTATTGGGCATGTACTTTAAAACTGCACTTTGAATGTCAGCCCTGACAATTCTGCAGAAACACCATGAGAGGAGACACTTCAAACCCAGCGGGTGCCTGGCACCAGCTTCATTTGGGGATGATTTTTAAATCTTCAACAAGAAGCATGCCAGGCGGTCCTCTTTCCAGAGCTCTGCAGCACAAACTATTACAGATCCAGGCAGGAATGCACCTTCTGAGAACCAGGGGAAACGACAGGGATGTTTTAATGATGGTTCTTCAACAATGACAGTGATTCTCTATCACTTTAGCCTCTTGGACTTGTCTGAATACCTTACAAATACAATTTTGGCCATAATTGTTCACCCCTCATATATATATTTTTATTCAGTCTCGTCTCCTCACTTCTGGGGGAGCAAAGGCAAATTTTTCAGAGTTCTTTATTTCCTTCCCAGCCCCAAACTGTGCCAAGCTTCTTTATAGCCCATTGGATCCAGATCTATCTTCCTCCACAGCCCATTAACACTATTCTTGAGTAGGGCTAAAGAGAGGGGCCAGGTGCTCAGAACTCTGTCTCTCTGCACACCCAGCCCAGAGGGTGACTGTTTTAGAGCTTTGCCTGCTATAATAGTTACTTTATTAACTGAAAGTGATGGCATCCACCTTGAAACTTGTTCAGCAAAACAGACAAGCAACTGTTTTATGATCATTATACACAACAGCTATAGAAGTTCAGGGAACCACTCTATACTTTACTAGGAAGGTAATGCTGATAAAACCACCACACGCATTAGCCTGGACCCCATAGAGGTGGAAACTGACCACATATGCATCCAGATTGCCCCCTCTTGATGAATGAGGCAAGTATGTGACTATGAGGATCCCCCAGAGAGTTTCTCTCTAATTGTACTGTTCAGGGAAGAGGGTTGCCATGGAGTCCCTCCTCCCCTCCCCCCAAAGTGCACCACGGCGTTGGACTCAACCCTCTCAGGTCACCCAGGGGAAATGACCATGTGTATGGAGGCCCTGTGCTTCTGCACTGTCTCACCCAGCTTTCTGGAGCTCTGCTGCCAGGGATCCCCCCCTCTGCTACTGCTGCCTTCAGAAACTCCATTAAAATTAAATCCCCACCACAGAGATGATCCTACAGGAAAAGCAGCACAGCCCCAGAGTTCTAGAACGTACTCAAGTAATTCTTCCAGGACTAGTTCACTGATGTGCACCTTGCCAGATCCTGCCTCCATCCAAAAAGGGTCATCCGCTCCCCAATGCTACCTCCATGTAGAATCTAACCCTGGGGAATGCCCTTCATGGAGGCAGTACTGCAGACCTCCCATTCCAGAGAATGGGGGAGAGATCTACATGCAAAGGAGATGCAGTCTGGCTCCTAGGTTGAAGAACCACAAATACTTTGTGTACATTCAGAGATTCTGCGAGAACCCCATATTTGTGTCATTGTAGGATGCAACTGTGGGAAGCAGATCATTTGTAATAGCTCAAACCAGTAAAATGTCACTTACTTGGATTTGCTCTTGGCCACTGTTTTTGGAGCACAATGATGAGGGGAAGAAAAAGAAAGAAAGTTATGTTACCATCTTGTTTTCTTTTAACTATTAACATTTACAAATTATTACAGCTTTGCACAAAAGCTGCTTTTGGAACAGTCCCAGAGCAGCCAGGCAAAGACAATCACAGTTGTAAAGGAGATTCCTCTTGCCTTGTATAGGTAGGCCATGCCAAAAATCCACCTTTATTTCCCCCATCATATCATTTTAAAAATCATTGTGCAGTGCCTAGTCCAGTAGGTCCTGGCCTGCTTGTACCCTCCAGGCAATAAGTAAAAGTATAGCAAAATCCACCCTATGTTTTGTCTGCACAATCAAAGCTCTTGTTCAAGCCCTGAATAGTTCCAACCACTCCCGTTTCAGGTTCTTTCAAAATACAGCGAAGATCAGATCCCTTGTCCCTATATCACTTCACTCTCAGAATCATAGAATATCAGGGTTGGAAGGGACCTCAGGGTCATCTAATCCAACCCCCCTGCTCAAAGCAATCCCCAGACAGATTTTTGCCCCAGATCCTGAAATGGCCCCCTCAAGGATTGAACTCACAACCCTGGGTTTAGCAGGCCAATGTTCAAACCACTGATCTATCCCTCCACTAGAATCCCTCCACAGGCTTCCTGTCTTCCACTGCATAAAAGCGCAAGCTTCTTGCATTCACATTTAAGGCCCTTCTCAGCTCTGCCTTTCTCATCTATTTCTTTAGCTTAATCTCTTAAGCCCCTCCAGCGCTCTAGCAACACTCATTTATCCACTTCTCCCAGCAATATGGGCATTCTGCCCCTTTCACAAAGAATGCCTTTCCTGAACTGCAACATAAGGCAGCTACCCTCCTCTTCAAATCTCTCTCCAAAGCCCATTTCTGCTGGAACACCTACAAGAAATCACACAACTAATGATGGGTTGATGAATGGGCAGAATCTCTGTCAGATCCTGCGTCCACCCAAATGGGGTCATCCACTCCCCACTATTACCTCCATGCAAAATCCAATCCTGGGAAACGCCCTCCATGGGGACAGTACCGCAGACCTCCCATTCCAGAGAGCAAGGGAGGGATCTATAAGCACATGAGCTTATGTTACCCTCTTCCTTCATTGAGATTTTTACCCTCACAAGAATATTTTCTTAAATTAGATTGGAAACTCTTTGGGGCATGAACTGTCCCTCACGGTCTGTTTATACAGCCTCAACACAAAGGGGCACAATCCAGAATCTGTAATACAAGTAATAATGCAGCACACATCACCACAACACAAGTAATTTCCCAAAAGTTACCTTATATTGGACATTCAGGTTTCATCTGTAATTTATTTGTATTGCAATAGCACCTATGGGGGCCTCACTCATGGACCATGACATCAGTGTACTAGGTGTTGTACAAACACTGAACAAAAAGATGATCCCCGCCTCAAAGATCATACCATCTAAATAATGTTTTTAACCATTTCCTTTTCTTTCATTCTTTTAACTAAGCATTTCTTTCACAGCTGCTGACAGTAGTTTATGGAGTTCAGATATTCCCCCCCACTGCCCTTTTAAGTTTTCAATCCACATTAAGGCCTGTTCTGACATATCCATATGGGTTTCCAGATGACCAAGGACTTAGCCAAGTCCTCATCATCAAATGGCCAAACCAGCCATTTGTTTTTACAATGACTTAACTCACAGGTAAACGTTGAATAAGATGTGATATGTCTAGTAATTAAAAACTGTTGGCCCTGTAATCACTTGCTCATGGCTGGGGCTTCAAACAATTCCTAGGATGATACAGCTGGTTTACAGATACGTGCCTGAGAAGCAGAAAGGAAAGACCAGCCAAGCCACACAGGCAGATCTTTTAACATTCACCTGCATCGCCCACCCCCCTTCGTGCTACATTCACTGTGGCCTCCAATTGCCCCCCCTCTGCAGTGGCAACCTAGGTGCTGCTGGAGCAGGCAGGGCGCTGGGCTAGGTGCCCCCTGTAACACTTCTCTCTCTCTCTCCCCCCTAACTGGGGTGTTTGGGCTCGACCTCAATTGCCTGCCCCGGTCACTCGCCCCACGGGTTTTAGTTTGCCAGGGTTGCTGTGGGGGGTGCCCAGGAGCCTGCAGCGACCAGAGCAGGGAACAGCGCAAAGCAGCCGACCCCCGCCGTGACCGCCCCCCTTGGGCCCGACCCAGAGCCCCCTACAGCCAAGGGAGGTGGGAGCCGCTCGCCAGCTCATATGGGTGCAGAGCCTCGCGCCACGGCGGGTCCTGTCTGACTCGAGGGGTCCACGTGGTGCCGGGGCGCGCTGCCCGCCGGGAGCTGTAGTCCCAGGTGGCGCCGCAATGCCCGCCGGGAGATGTAGGGCCGATGGGGGAGGAGCAGCGGCCCAGCCTGGGCCCAAGTGCGTCCATGACACCGTTAGGCCCAAGTCTCCTCCCACTGCTCCTCGCTCCTCCCCCGCCGCCCCAGCTAGCAGCCGCGGCGCGGAGCCGTATCCCCTTCCCCACTCACAGGCAGCCACCGTCAGGAACATGGCGCCTACTCCACCGTGAGACCCCTCTGCCCCTCCGGCCAGCTCCAGAGTCCAGAAGCACCGCCACAACCACTTCCGGGGCGCGGGCGCAACCGCTTCCGGGGCACTAGAGAGCGGCCGGGCAGACGGGGAGGGCGGGGCTGGTGACGATAAAGCCCCGCCCTTGGAGCGCGCGCAAGGGCATAGCCAAGCCCAGCAGCTGCCACGGTCGCTGCCCGGAAGCCACACCCCCCCCCATTGTAATGTGTAGGGCGGGGCTGCCCAGGCCTTTGCACCATGGGTCCCACCCTACCTCGTTAGTTATCTGGGGGTTGGGCCTGGGCGCCGCTGTGCTCGGTGCTGTACAGAGACAATGAAGGCGCTCCCCATCTGGGCGGGGAGTCAGCCTCTCCTTACAGATGTCTCCTGGGCAATGCAACAAGCCCAGCTCCTGGGAAGGCCTGGGAGTAGCTGAGCTTTCTGGAGAAGCAGTGCACAAGAGGGCGGGAATATATTTTTTGTATGATATTAATAGATTTTTTTTTAAGGCCAGGAGGGGACATTCTGATAATTGAGGCTCACCTGTATAACAGGCCAGAGAAGCTGGCTTGCTAACTCCTGTATCTAGTCCAGGGGTGGGCAACCTATGGCCCACGGGCTGGATCTGGCCCTTTGGTTAATTTCCTGTGGCCCATGGTGCCCCCTCGCCCCGCATGGGGCTGGAGCCGTAAGAGCTAGCTTGCCCTGCTGTGGGGGGAAGCCTTGAGCTTCTGTGCCCCTCTGTGGGGCTGGAATCATGGGCGCTGGCTGTTCTCCCCCCTGCTGTGGGGGGAAGCCTCAAGCCCTCCCCCCCCAGGCAGGTGAGTGGCCCACGATTGCTTTTTTTCTGTGGGTCAATGGCCCGTGACAGAAAAAAGGTTCCCCACCCCTGATCTAGCCCATCACTGAAATAAGACCTGGGACTGCCACACCTGCTGAGCTGGGATAGTCCATGTGTTCTGTCCCCTATGCTTACTCATACTTGCTTCAGCCCCCATTCACAAATTGCTGTTGATTCCTATACAGAGCTGCCAAACCTCGCAATACTTGGTGCTTTTCTACAAGCTGCAGCTACTGGAGTCCTGTGATTACATGAGAAGCTCAGCTTTCATTTAAAAAAATAGAAGCAACTTCCGGTTCTCATGGTAGTGGTGAAAAGCTTTAAAATGTGACACCCTCCCCCTAAACCTCAAAAAATAAATAAAAAGAACCCAGAGTTTTTGCTTTGTTTTAATCTCACAATGTTTAAGTTGATCTTGTGATTTTTGAGGCCTAACTCATCATTTTTGAATGCTTGTGTTTGGCAATACTGCTTTAAACATAGACCCTTTTGACTGATATCATAACAAATCTCTCATGTCCAAAAAGAAGTACAGTATAGTACATTATGCTGTATTATACAAGCCTTACCCAAAATGCTATGCAGAGTTAAATTGGGATTTTCAAAGGAGCCAAAGGGCATTAATTGCAATTCAATGGGAGTTGGGTGCTAGAGCCCTTTAGGCCCCTTTGAAGATCCCAGTCTAGATCATAAATAACTCAGTAGTAGCTGCAGAGTGAAATTAACAGGCATAGGCAAGGGAGATGTGGAATACTTTCAGAGGATATTTGAAATGAGATGGAGTTGATGAGATGGAGGTACTCAGAATGGCTGGTTCTGAAGAGTTCCATAGGCTGGGCTCACTACATTCGCTGCCAGTTGAAGACAGAACAAACCCAAAGGGGAGATTAATTATTGCACTTCAGTTTTTTTAAATGACTTGCACAATAAATACAGGCAAGGATATGAAAACATATGAACATTTCTGTATAATTGAGGAACGTTATGACTCAGGGGACTAATAACAGAGAAGTGGCACTAGGCTGCTAGTCTGAATGTATCTCAGGTCTCTAGTGACTAACAGCTGTTCTTGCGAGATGGCAGTCTGGGAGCCTGTGTGATCTGATTCACAGTGATCTCAGGCATTGTAACCCACTGGTCAGCGGGTGTATCGTGTCCTTTATCCACAGGGATATGGGGCTGTTACAGAACCTAGCTCCTTAGCTCAAGCTATACAGACTCATGCTTTCAACTCTGGAGGCCTCCAGTGTCAGTCCCCACATAAATGGGGATTCAGTCCTAATTCAAACTGCTGTGGGAGTCGGGACTCAGATATGTGGAACAAGCTCCCTTGTCAAGACACTGGCCAGTGCATGCTACATGCATCCTCTGGGCAAAAGAAGCCCACAGCAGTTTGAATCCAAGACAAACTCCCAACTTACATGACAGCTGCCATTGTGGCTGACACAAGGGATTGAAGTGGGGGCCTGGGCCCAAGTCCCTACAGCTGGAGCTAAAGAACTGAGAGTTGTAACAGGCCCATTTCCTCTGTTGATCAGGCATACAAGGGGACACGTAACACCCAGTGGGTTACCCCATCATCACAATTGTCAATGCTTTGTATACTGCCGGGTTGTTTAGTATTCTGATATGTTATAGGATTGCTCTTTCTTGAGTATTTTTCAGAGTGGCCTAGGGAGTTCCGATAGGCACTTCTTGTTATTTTAAAATGTATAAATAAAAGGCACCGTCGCTGGCTGTTGGTCAATAAATTAAGAAGTGAATTATGTGTGGAAATTGATCTTCTCTCTGGCCTGTAAAGACATCAAGGTCAGGGTTAAGGTGATTTGAGATGCCTTTAATAACCTCAGCTCCATTTAAGGTGCAGTGTAAAGGTGCTTTTGTTACCTGCATCCTCTAAAACCCTAGCTTTGTAATATCAGTATATCCCAGTAACAGGGACTCCTATCAGCTGACTGAATAGACCTGTTGTTTCCTGTGAGGTGCTGAGCTCACTCAACCCTCTCAGTGCTCAGCACTTCACAGGAGCAGGTGCTGATTGCCCATGACTAGGTTTGTGGCTCCAAGCCTTGCAAACCCCATCACCTTGCAATTTTATATATCTGACTAAAAGAATTTCTTCTTATAGCTTGGACACCCCATTCAATTGCTAGAATTCTAATGGAAGATGCAGGACTAAATTCAGCCTTGTCATAAGCAGATGCAATTCCAGCTGAAGTCAATGGAAGTTGTGCATTATTACACTGGGGCTGAATTTGCCTGTAGTTGGGCAGGTGGCAAGCTCAGAGTACTGCATGTTATACAAAACAAACATGTTTGGATTTTGCCTTGTCCTTTGCATATTCATTGTTCATCTCTTTCATCTACTTGTTGCACATTGCTATAGACCGAGATTGGGAGCTATCAGGACAGAGACTGTCAGGATCATATGTTTGTACAGCATCTAGCACGGGGGAGCCCAGATCCCCGTTTGAGGCCCCTTGGCCCTGCAGCAATACAAATAAGAACAGTAATACAACTATGAACAGTAATGTCAAACAAAAGAACTCTAACAGGTACACGCTGTCACAGAGTGGGATATGTCTGGCTCAAATGGATTTTCTACATTGGGGTGCCAGCATGGCTGGTGGTTCTGCTGCTTCTCGGCCTGCTGGCCACATGGCCAAAGGGAGAGAGACTGTATTTAAGAAGGGGTTTGTCTTCTCTGAAAAGTGGGGGTCATCCATCGCCACATGCAAGAAGAGGCTGGAGAGAGATGGAAGGCCGGAGAGACTCTGCCTAGCCTGAAATACTGCCAAGACTCACAGAATGGGTGATATCTGACTATCTGAGGGTGCATCTCTGGACTTTTATTATTTTGCAAGGTCTGTAATGCTCTAGTGCATTTAAAGAGTAAAGTGGCTGTGATTAAGAAATTCCTTTGCTAAGCCTATATTCCTTGCTTTCCTACCCCATTGTCCCTGAAGGGGTTAAACGAGAAGCCAAAGGGCTCACATCTAGGTAGAACTCTGGGGGAGCATGTGTAAGCAACTAGGGGGGTTGGGAGGTCTGAGGCACTGGTTTTGGGGCGTAGGGTGACTGGATGCCATCATGTCCCAAAGAAGAGCATCAGAATAAAGATTTGAGCCTGTGAGTATGTCCTGGAATTTCAGAACTAGAAACAGTAACTAGGCTCTACCCAGACTCAGTTGGCTTAGGAGCACATGGGACTCAACGACTGGGTCCACTCGCAACAGACTCACAATGTCTACACAGAGGGGCACCTGGTCAGGTTGTAACAACACAATAGCAATTCCTATGCATGAGCATGAGAGGAAGGATAATCCTGTGCTTAAGACAGTGGATCACAAATCAGGAGACCTGGGTTCTTTTCCTTACTCTGCTTCAGACTTATGTGACCTTAGGCACATCCCTGAGCCTCTGGGTGCCTCAGTTTCCTTCTCTGTAGAACAGAGACACTAATAGATGCTTGTGTTACAGAGATGTTATGAAGCTACATCCATTAATACTTGGGAGGTGCTCAGATGCGATGGTGCTTTGTGCAATAGCAAAGTTTTAAAATAAATAACAAGGGACATTTCAAGTTCTCCTACCCTCCTGGGTAATAAACTGTAAGTCAGGAGGATATTACACTTTAAAGAATTGACAATGGATCCAGCACTTATTTTCTCTGCTAGTCAGATAAACTGTTAATGTAGGAATTAAAGTCCTTGAGTATTCAGCAATTAACTGTGCAACAAAAATATGTCAGCTTGACACGCTGAAAGCAAGCTAACAAGACTAAGACGGAATGCATAATAACATCCAGTTAATGTGATATTATGTGGCATGAAAACAAATGGCTGACAGTAAAAAGACTGGAGTAACATGACATCCTCTCTGGGAAAGCACTGCTATGGGTGGCACTCTTGATTTCGGTTGACACGTTCCTTGTTTCAATTCAGTTATACCAAATTCTGCTTTTTTAATGCTACAAATGTTCTGATCTGTACTCTTAGTACTTCAGAAATACAAATCCATTAGTCACATCATAGTTTGCCTGTGAATATCAGAGTGAGAGAGAGGGAATATTCAGTATGATAAAATGCTACTATTGTTGGATTTCTCATCTTTGATCCCCTTTGCTGCCTAGGTCAAAATAACACAGCTGAAAAGGGATCAGTTTGCCAGCCTCCCAATTTAACTGCCAGGCACAAAAGCAACATAAAAGACAGTTTTTAAATTAAAT